GCCGGGATGTTGGTCACAAAGTGAGAGAAAATTGCAGGAACTCCAGTTGCCAGTTCTGAATATACAAGTCCTATTCCGGGCACACGTACAATACCAAGACTAGGTCCTAGTCCCAGCAACCACTTCAGTGAAACTTTGTTATGGAGATCAAAGCTGTATTTCCTGCGAGTTCCATAGTGCCACACATACATAGCGGTCATAAATATGAACGCGAGCACCAAAGCTACCCAACCACCCTGAAGAACTTTCATGAGCGCCGCTGAGAGATAGGCACCTTCGATTATCCATAGAGTTCCAAGGAACAAAGCCGCCAGATAACAACTCTTCTCCCAAACCACGACTATGACAAGAGCCATGAGAAACGTTGTGATGAACATTACTATCATGCAGGCGAGTCCTGTTAGAATCGAGAAAGCCACCATCAGGTCCTGGAGAGGGGGAAAAAATAGATTCCAGTGAATAGAAAGTTTACCGTACGCATTTCCAATCAAAGTTGTGTCTCGGAAGCCTATTGTTACTGCAAGAGTCAGGATCATCAGGATCCAATTGATCTCCGGGATATACATCTGTCCATGTTTTGAAGTATGTACTATTTTGACGCGTGGGAAGCATCCAAGAGCATGGCATTGTTTGATTATTGAAAATGTGGCGGTTATCACAGCCTGACTGCCAACAATTGCTGCAAGCGTAGCAATAACAACTACAGGCCAGAAAACTGGATCTGCATAGAGGACCAAAATCATATAAGGTTGGCATTATATAAATGAAACAAGTGAATTTCAAAAACTGGTCTGCGAGTAAACAAACCTGGGACTGAACTGTAAAAACTGTTGGGAATAGACCCGAGGTTCTTGGATAAGAAAGCTGCCTGGCCCATGTATTGTATAACCAGACATGGGTACACAAGAAAGGCGAAAGCAAGCTGCACAGAACCAAAAGGAGTAAAATGTAACAGCAAGGCTGCGAAACCAGCATGGACATATATTGGGATGACTAACAAGGCTAAGAACTCATGGGTAAAAGAACTGATGTACAGCACTAGACTTGGAACCTCCACTTACTCTGATTGAAACCGAAGTAAATTGGCCAAGATTGGAAAACATAGCTTCAGTACCTGATGAGACAGTGATAATCAATATAGTGAAACCAGCTCAAAAGACCATTCCGAAGTTAGAAAATACATGATTCAGAAGAAAAGAAATATTTTATGGTTATGTCTTGATCCAGAACCAGAAGTACCTGTTACAGAAAGAAGAACCCCTCCAAGAGAAATCCAGCCACCTTGACCAGTCACTCGGAAAAATTTGATGATATAAAGCGGGGAAATAGCATAGATTATCTTCGGATTCCAGTGTATGATGTTGTAAAAACCAATGAAGAGGATTGAAATAAGCCAAATGATCACAATTGGTGAAAACATAAAAGCCACCCTGTGAGTACCACAGTGTTGCAAAGCAAACAGTCCAACTAGTATGGCACATGCAAGAAGCAGAAGTTCGCCTGCAGAGGTTAAAGAGAAACTTTTATACTCCAAAATAAAAAGAAAGTCCAAAAGATGTAATAAAACAATGATAGACACTAGATAGAAGCACATGGTGGAAGCAATAAGCATTATATACCTTCAGTCGATTTCCTCTCTGTAGCTTGCAAACCTGACATGGAAGACAGAACTGCAAGAAAGCATAGGAGGGATTTATAGTCTCGATCATAAAATAAAATAAATAAGGAAGGATAATATAACAGTGAAGAGCTTTAACTCCAACTCCGAACGTAAGAAATTGGAATATTTAAACCTGATATTGCTGGAGTCAGAACCCCGTTTCCTATGACCATAGCAGCAGCAGAAAGTACAAGAAGCAGCAACACAGTCCTCAGCCTTTTGTGCTTCTCAAAGATTCTTTTGAAGGGGGACGAAGTACCAGAATCAGTGGAGGGAGGATCAGACTTGTAAGCTGAGAGCTCTTCGTCAGCAGCTTGCTGGTTAGGAAGTAAGCTAAGCTTAGCATGCCTACAAAGCAGCGAATAGAGAGCAAATGTTCCGCCTGAAGAGAGGAAAAAGAAAACATCTCATAAAAAGGCAGAAGAGGAATGACGTTACTTTAGCCAAAAAAAAAAAGAAGAGTGGACCTTGTCCATTGTCATGGGAATTCAGTAATACAAAAAGGTACTTGAGAAGGGGAATGAGCGTGAGGGACCAGAAAATCAAAGAGAAGGCACCAAATACTACGGCTTCCTCGTCGTTGTGATGCTGCTGCTTGCCGATAAATGTGTTAGGAAACACATAGAGAGGAGATGTAGAGAGATCACCGTAGACAACACCAAAGCTCTGGTAGGCCAAAATCAAATTCCTCGCCCACGAAACCTGAACAATTCAGTAAACAGAGAGAAAACAGGTTCAGAACAGAAGAAAGCCAAACAACAATATGTGACAGGACAAGTCACATAGCAAGCTTTATTCTAAAAACAATCAATAAACCTATTTTCTTCAATCTTATTAACCTCTCAAGAACCTATTCAATCAACTACGCTGCAGAGAAAATCAAACCTTCGTCGTTATCAAGTCTCACACCGAAAACAAGAAAAAGCAAACGTCCGATCCCTCTGAAGTACTCATGTGATGAGATATACGAGAGAATGGAAAACGGATTGTGTATATTCTGTGAAGAAAGAGACACACTTGGTCATCATGATTTGAAGCACAAAGGGGTGGAGATTATCATGGTCGAAAGTGACAACCAACCCATCCTGATTGGAAGTGACGACAACCCCCCTGGTTGAAGAAAGCTTGGTCGTATCTGATGAGTTTTTCACCGAAACTGTGATGAAACCAGACTCTTTATCTGAATCCTTGGAGAGTTTCACTGCTGATGTTTGATGTTGCAGGACAGAAAGAAGATCAAAACAAAGATAATAACGAAGAAAATATGAGCTTCTCTCTTGGGGGAAAAGAGAGAGAACACATGGTGGGCAAGCAGTCTCAAGAGGATAAGCATGTATGGGAGCCAGGTGGTCTTCTAGCCAAGCCAGATTCGTTGAGCTTCTTTCATGATTTAACCTTACAGGATCATGGGACTTATTCACAGAAAATCACAGCGATATGCATCCCATTAGCTAAAGAAACTTTGCAATAAGAGAAGGAGAATATTTTCCTTGAGCTATGCTCTCTTCTTGATCCAGAAGATTTATAGACCTTGGGAAAAATGAGTAACAACACTCTTTATCTGGAAGACAAACAAGAACATGAATGTGAGCCAGAAGAGGTATTACAACTTGTCTCCTTTTGGAATAAACGAGTGTGGGAACCCGGTGGAGTATTGATTGACCGATAAGCGGAAGCTCTGTTTTAGTGTTGGTTTTCAAATCAGAGCTTTTTATGTGATCAAAGGGTGCAGGTGGTGCGACAGCAACCACATAAGCCAGAACCAAGAAAGATAAGAACAATGACGTGTTGTTCTCAACGCCTTTTGGATATATGGATGCTTGTTGTCATTTGTCAAGAGATCGTAACTAGTTCTCTTGGAGTTGGTGTTTTTCTTGAATGCAGTGAGAAATTTTTAAGGCAAGAAAAGTACAGAGGACTGTGTAGCTACTTGAATGTGCAGAAAAAGCTTGCGAATAGTGAGATATTTGCAGAGGTGCGCATGGTGAAGAGAACCAAAGTTGTACCTGAGAAGATTGCAACACATCAAATAGCCGTTGAAATGATACTAAAAGAAGTGAGCCAACGTCACTTTTCCATTCACCATTCCATGATCTTAGGGGAATTTTGTTTGTGTACACAGTAAAGATCATGCGTGGATGTGTTCCTCAAAAGGTGCAGCTTACTCTTGTTTTTTGGGAGCAAAAGACTAATTCTGAATATCAAGTTTTGCAAGAGAATCATGTACAACAGAGCTGTGTGACTTTGTTCGTGGCTGTGAGTTCGATTTTTCTAGTTCTAACTATCCTTTGGATAGGTCACTCTCAAAGGATATAGTCTCATGGGTTCGATATGGATATTTCTTGGCATCCGTGGAAGATAAGCACAAGAATGTGACTCACCCAATCACTGAAATCTTTTTATTTGCTCTGTCAGAACCCATATTTGGTGAGGACAGTGTTAAAGATCACCGCAGAAAACTTGTTTACCAAAGCTTTTGGAATAGCTTTTGTTGACTGGAAAGTGCATCCTCCAGACTAGAATACATGAAATTTATATCAAGAGTTCACTAAAGAGCATCCGGTTTTACATACTTGAGGACAAGTATGATTTGAAGGAGGAAGTATTGTGACAGGATAAGTCACATATCTTAGCTAATCGTTATCTAATTGTTAGTTTTCCTTATTATGCTTAGCTTTTATCTCTTTTCGTAGTTAGTTTAATATTCTATTTGATTTTACTATATATTGTAGCCATAAGGCAAGCTTTATTCTAAAAACAATCAATAAACCTATTTACTTCAATCTTATAAACCTCTCAATAACCTAGCAAGAGCTCATTCAAGAGCCAAGCCTACAAACTCAGACTTTTGAGTTGATCCTTCTACTTCGTGATCATCTTCTAAGTCTTTGTTTACCTGTTCTTCGAATCCGCAAGTAGGATTTCTAGTTTGGGATCTATCCTATCAAGTTTCCAGTCTCATAATATGTGCGCGTATAGCATATGGTGTGCTGCTTGATTTGGACTAGCTACTAGCATCTAAGCTGTTACTTTATTGGTTAATTTCCCGACACACTCTTAGGATGGATTTATCGAGAGATTTGCAGAAAGCACGAACTGTGCAAGTAGGTGGGGGAGGGAACTAACCTGAGAAGGATTCCGAGGCGGAGAGACTCCAGAATATTCCATCGCTGTCGTCGCAAGTAGAATCTCAGCAAATCAGGTTCGATCACTTCTTCTTGCTAACCTTATCTCTCACTCCAGAGAATCTATTTAGAGAGTCGATAACTTTTGTCTCTCCCACATACCTTATCAACATTTATTAATTATTCCTTCTTAATCCGGTTACAGTTTTTGACCGCTAATTATCAAGGTTTTCTAATCATTTTTCCTTGGGAAGTGAAACAGTGGAAACAAATAAAAGAGAGAAAAAAAGACGTGTTTCCTCACTTTCTTTCTCTCCCTCCTCAGGCTTTGATATTTTTATTAGCTCTTCCTAGGCTTCGTAATCTGTAATAGAATGATACTAATGTGGTTTTAGATTACAGTATATGGGAACCATTGATTGTGTTTCTGCGCAAGAACAAAAGTGTGGATCAATGGCAATTCTTTCACTTGCCATCAACTCATTCCATTTATGAATCAAGTGTGTGCTCTCCTCTTTCTAGATGCCTCACTGCCTTTCCTTCAAATACCAAGCCTCTCCCGCCGACGATCATCTTCCTCATCCATTATCTTTAGGTAATAATAAAGCAGGTTTTCCCATTTTTTTGGCTTCTTCTATTTTTATTTCTAAAACCGCACACCACGTGTTTGTTAAAATGCCTAAAACGAGTTTCGTCTTTGGCTGGGTTGTACAGACGGCTTTCCCTCCTCCTCCTCCAGAAACAACGCTTCCAATCCGTCGCCTACCTTTAATCTCAGTCGCGAGCTGGCTCACGCTTTTCAGACCCCATCCTACCACGACATACGTTCACTGGTTCACGTTGTTGACCCTCCATCTCCTGCTTCTGCTTCTTCCCAACATCATCTTCCCATCCAACCCGACATCAATGATCGGACAGAGCTCCTTCTCTCTCAAATTCTCCAACCAAACAAGGAATGCGTCCAAGAAGCTCTTAGCCACGCCAAGCCCACTACACTCACCCACCTCATCTCCACTTACTTCCAACACAGCGAAAGCGCCACACGCCTTTGCTTGAATCTTTACCATAGTGTACACAGCGCTCGCCACCTCTACACACCCCTCTTTGACCTCTTCCACATCCTCCCCGCTGATTCCCACCCCCTTGACGAGTCCCTCTGTAACTTGGCATTCGACGTCTTCCTCAAGCTCGACACTTTTGAAAACCCTTTCTCCTCTCCTGAATCTCACAGCTTCCGAGACACTCAATTATGCTTCTCCCAGCTCAAGCACAAGCTGGACACCCGTCTCCGTAAGTCTAGGTCACGCGTCCGCCTCATCCACCATGCCACAGCTGGTTCTGCCTCTTTATCTTGTTTCCTGCTCCTTGTTTCGGTTGCTGCTTCTGCCTCTCATCCACTTCCCTACCCTTGTTCTTGTTCTTGCAGGTCCCCTCTGCAGTCCTTACCTTCCTCACAGTTTCAAGAAGAAGGAGTTAACTAACATTTCTCAGCTCAATGCTGCTGCCAAGGGTACTTTTGTGCTCAACAAAGATCTCGACACCATTGACCGTCTTGTCTCCCGCCTGCACACCGGGATTGAATACGACAAGCTTTTCATTCGGCTTGGATTGGAGAGGGGGAGAGACGTGTATTCAGTTCAGGAGATTTTGAAACAGCTTCACAAGACCCACCTTAACCTCACTCATCAACTCAAGGATCTTGAGGATCATATTTGCCTTTGGTTCACCAACGTTAACAAAGCTAGATCGTTGCTCCTTCAAGAGATCCATCTTCCACGAACATAAGCTCCCCAACTCTCTCTCTATCAGTTTTCCGTGCTTGTAAGTTGGTCACTACCTAATTTGTTAGAGTTTTATGGAAATTTGTATTCTTTAGAGTTTAGAGGGAACAAAATTACTGCCAGCTCTAGTCAAAAATCAATCAATATTTCATGGTCGGCTGCTTTTTTTTTTATATGGAAATTCATAATATCATATGTCTGGATAATTGGACGAGTTTTTTTTGTTGCTACAATGGGCTTTTCTTGACCTGATTGCTGGAATGCAAGTACATATGCATTTGTTTCAGTCTGATGAAGTAAATACTTTAATTTTTAATTGGCAGTAGGTCTTTATCGTGAGGTTAGTTGGGATGCAATCTATTTGTTGAGGTTATTTGGGATTTTTGTCGACATTAGTCGACCCACTTGTTTGGTTCTTACAGTAACCTGAGCTTGTGGAGAGGACACCATTACCAAATTGAATATATACATAGAGGCCAAGCTATATTCTAGCTGGGAATAGAGACTTTCTTTGGTCTGACTTGACAATAGTTCAATTGTTTCCAGTGACTTTCTTTGGTCTGACTTGACAATAGTTCAATTGTTTCCAGTGAAACGCCCTGTTTGGGCTTTAAGGACAAGCTGATGGTCTCTATGATCTCGTTGGCTCTGCTCCAGAACCATGAAGTAGTCCCGTGCGTCGAATGGTGTCCTGGGCAACGAGCCCTGAACTTATGGGCTGTGTCGTCCACATCAAAGTCTCACCAAAGCCTTTTTACTTGGTAGAGGCCAGGTTTGGATTTGGACTTTGGAGGAAAATAATATGCGTTGGAATATTCCCAAAGATTAGAAAATAGGAAAGGAAAGTGTGTCAACATCTATCGATTACAAGCAACCATGAAAGAGAGTCGAATATCCAAAAGGGATAATTTGACTGTTATTAGCAAAGGAAACGTGGTGATCCTCAAGAATATTCCAAGATCCTATCTTCGTCTTCCTTCTTTTATCATATTTATATGTTAACCCTTCACCCAAAGTCCATCGCTGAACCCATCCAACAAATCATCTAGCTCCTCTTTTGATCTCTATACATATAAAAAATGTCTCTGAAAGCAATTCATGTAACGGAAGTGCCAAGCCTCGACAACTTCCCTGAGAATCCCTCCCTCTGCGCTTCTCGTTTCTCGCCTGGTGGTCTTAGCTCTTTCAAGATCCCAAAGTTTCTGGTGGTGGGACATAGAGGTCACGGCATGAACATGTTGCAGTCGCCGGATCCAAGGTTCTCTGCCTTCAAGGAAAACTCCATCCTCTCCTTCAATGCCGCTTCAAAACTCCCTCTCGACTTTATCGAATTCGATGTTCAGGTTTCTTTCTTTCTTTCTTTAGCTCTGCATGTTTTTCCTTTTTTGTTCCTCCACGTGATCGCCGGCCATAGCACGTGGGGGTTTTTCGTTGACTTTTATTTTTGTTTGTTTTTTTTGGGTTCTGAAAAATGAAAAAAAAATAATAATAATAATAAATACTTTTTGATCAAACACAGGTGACCAGAGATGGCTGTCCAGTCATTTTCCACGACGACTTCATCTACTCTGAAGATAACGTAAGACGCTCTTTGAGTAGCTTCGGATTGTTGATGCCCTAAGATATTTATAAGAAATATGTAATGAATGGAACAGGGAGTGGTCTACGAGAAGAGAGTCACGGAGGTTAGCTCGTCCGAGTTCATGTCGTACGGGCCACAGAGGGGAACAGAGAAGAGCGGGAAGCCATTGCTGAGGAAGTCGAAGGAAGGAAAGATCCTCAAGTGGTGCGTCCAACAAGACGACTCTCTATGTACTCTCCAGGAGGCTTTTGAGAAAGTTGAGCCCAAGCTGGGTTTCAACATCGAGCTCAAGCTTGACGATAACCTTGTCTATTCCTCCGACCACCTCTCCCGTCTTCTCCTCCCGATCTTGCAGGTACAAAATACTTGACTGTGAATGTGATTGTGATTAGGTTGGTTTGGCGTCAATTGCCTCATTGCGTTGAAAATGATATGTGACAGGTGGTGTGTGATTATGGAAAAGAGAGACCCATCATCTTCTCCAGCTTTCACCCCGATGCTGCCCTCCTCGTTAGGAAGTTGCAGAGCATCTACCCCGTAAGTACCCCTTCGTCTTTGTTTGATTAAAAAGCTTTAGACATTTTCCACTTAACTTATGTGCCGTGGGATGGGAAAAAAAAAACAGGTATTCTTCTTGACAAACGGAGGAACAGAGATGTACTACGACGTGAGAAGGAATTCGCTGGAGGAAGCAATCAAAGTATGTGTAGAGGGGGGCCTCCAAGGGATTGTCTCGGAGGTGAAGGGTGTTTTCCGGAACCCAGCCGCCGTCAACAGGATAAAAGAATCCAAACTCTCTTTGATGACGTACGGGAAACTCAACAATGTAGCCGAGGCGGTGTATATGCAGCATTTGATGGGAATAGAAGGAGTCATTGTTGATCATGTCGAAGAGATGACAGAGGCTGTGACGGAGATGATGAAGCCATCCAATAGAGATGCTCATGATACTAAGCCAAAGCCAAACTTCTCTGAGAGAGAGCTCTCCTTTCTTCTCAAGCTCATTCCTGAGTTGATACAACACTGAACTCTTAACTCCTTTTCTTCTTTCCTTAGTTACATATTAGGAGGATATGTTGTTTTTCCCAAAAATCGGGTATATGAAAAATCTGACAATGTATTGTGGGGATGCTACTATCGTGAGAGCCCAAATGTTATAGATTGATATTAGTACTACCATCACCAAATAACACTTTTGATTGATGAATCTAATTGTGTAAACATGTTCAAAAGGGAAAAGTGGGGACTTGGGTGAGGAGACCGTGCTGCAGGTGATAGTGGAGACGAGGCAAGAGAGGTCTGTAAGGATCTTCCTCCCTTCTCTGCTTCACAAACTCTATGCATCTCTCAATCTCCTCCTTCACTTTGGCGTACACTTCCTTTGTCTTCTCTCTGTCCCTTAATTCTTCCTCTCCCGTCTCAATCTCCTTCCCAAAGTAGTAATAGTATCTCCCAGGACACTTGGGTATCACTCCTGGCATGTGGAAATCTTGGTTACCCTCTTCTCCTTCTACGCTTCCCCTTTGAAACACAACACATGTCATACGTCACACACACACCAACCCCCATTTTTTAACAAAATTAAAATTACCAACGTACGCTGCTCTCTAATTCACATTACCTCACCCCCGGGCCTTCCGCTGTCACTCTTTTTAGCACTTCTCTAACAATCGGAACCTTTATCTGGTCATTGTAGTCCACAACTACCTGCATTCGTTACACAGTTATACCAGCTATATATTGCACACGATTGGACACCAAAATGTAATGTGCTTACTTTTAAGAAATCATCTTCTCCAACCCCACAAAATGGAACTATTTTGGCTCCAAATTTGGCTGCCGCTCTCACAAACTCCGGTTTCTCTGGCCACATCAGCTTGTATTCTTCTCCCTGTTACTGACTAAATTGTGATGACTTGTTTTCACTACCACAACAACGATAGCAGCAATACTACACATCCTGATATATATTAACAAACATATTCAGATGTCCAAAGTAACTGCTCTCATTTATGTGACTCTATGCCGTAAACCCAATGAGTGAAAAAACTACTCACCTTGCGGTGTAGAGCTTCGCGGATGCCTCCTGGAAACAACAGAATATGGGATTTTGCAGACAAGAGATTATGGAGGTGAGTGGCTGAGATGGGCACCGACCCCATCATTCTGAGTGTGTCGTAAACAGAGACATCAGGTAACAATCCATCCCTCATTCTTGTAAACATCATCGGATGCACTAGAGGCCGCAAATTGATGTTCCTCTCGTGAACAAATTGACCTGGGAGTGATATTTTGTCACTCGCCAGTAGCATATGATTACCCACTAGTAGTACAGGTCCTTCTGATGGTATTCCCCCAAGCCCCCTCACCACTTTCCCATCTACTGTGGTCGACAGAAACACAGGACCCATCACCACCTCAAGGAGCCTATCTCAATACCAAGAAAAAAAATCAAGATCAAACAATCAGTTTCTTTTACTATGACATTAATCATGCAAGAACTTTTGGAACATTATGTGTATGTGTAGGAACCTGTTGACGCCATAACATTTGTTAAATTCAGACAAGGTTGGTGGGATGAAGTCGGAGATGTAATCTTGATGACACCCACGCCGGTAAAAAGAAGTGGCCTTAATGATACTGACCAGATCAATGCCGTCCTCCTGTCCAATCCAAAAGCAAACGGAGATGTTCACAAAGCATTTTGGATTACATCCATGAGTGAGACAATATTCAGTATTTGGCCATTGTATTCGAATGAAAGCAGCAGAGCGGAAAGAACCGAGAGAGATATACCAGAAAAAGGCAATGACCGTTGTCTTTGAATGAACGGACTTCACATTTAGGCAGCTTTTTGCGAAGTCGTTTGCCTTCATATCTACTGGGTAATATATGGTCATTTCCGCTGTAGTTGGCAAACAAGTTAGCTCAACCCACTTGATATACTCCGGTGGAATATTAGAGGGAACAGTGAAGTGATTGATATCACAAACCTGGATAGAATTAGAGTCTGAGCTTGTACTAGATGAAGATGTGCATTGGCAAAAAGAGCAGCGGAATCAAGCAACTTGAGCTTCCACAAAAGTGATTCTCTCCCAAATGTATCAGCTAGGAACTGCATAGGCAGATTGTTAACCAAGTTCGACAACGTTGGAAAACAAACAACCTACCATAAATGAGAGTGTCACCTACAGATGTGAATGTCGATGCTGTCACCAAATCTTGATAAATGTTTGCAGCTGTTTCGTTCTCCGGAAGCCCCCTGACCCAGTGAGCAAGCATTCTTTTTAAAGGGCCACCTTGAAATTTCAATAGAACTTAAAAACCATGTCTTACATGACCAAAACACACATGTTAACGAATAAAAGTATAACCAAATTTTGATCGGAATTTCTGAAGATGCATTGACTATATTGTGACATGATTTTAAATTAAGGGAAGGGGTCATTTGTTTCTCTGAGATCCAAAATATGTAAATGGAAAAATTTAAGAATACCTGGAATCAAGCTTAAGACAGAAGGAAATGCAATAGCAAGTTGGTCTGGCAAGAATTTGAGGAGGGGAGCAAGATGTTGCAGCGAAGAGTTTCCAAATGATGTAGCTGCAAATGCAACAATACTCTTTATACCAATCTAGAAGAGATGGTGAGACTACTTGCAGGTATTAAGAAATTAAGAAGAAAAAAAAAGCATTTCCGCCATTTGTTTTCCTAATAAGTGGTGAGAAAGTCAGATGAGATTGGGCAGGAACTGAAGTGGAGATATAATCAGCGACTAAAGTGATACGCATTAACAGTTGGCATAAAAGCATGTAAGCAAATGTTAAAGGATTGTGAAGTACGCAGGCAGTAGAATGAGATAGAGATTAATTATATGTGAAGACTGAAGTGAAGGTCACCTGGATTAGAAAGAATCAAGACAAGATCAATATGAGGATTGCAGGCAGCAACGGAAAAAGCGATGCAGGCACCGAGAGATTCTCCAACAAGATAAATGGGCTGACCCGGTGACCGCTGACTTTCAGATATGACAGTAGTTTCGACCATCCGGACTAGATCTAAAGCAATTCAGTAAGTGTA